GCTACAACTCTGTGCTCTTGGAAAGCTTCAGGATGCCAACTACAAGAATTTTTGAGTGTTACAGCTCTAAGCGTTCAGAAGGTTTCAGAGTGTCTAGCCCAGAGGTTGCAAATGTTACAGCCCCATACTCTCAGCAGGCTTCAGGTGCCAGCAAGTACAGAAGTTCTTGGAGGGCATTGGGGTGCCAACCAGCAGTAGACTCTAGCAGAACAAAGAATGGTCAACATCAAGAATGGCTGGAGTGGCAGGTCTCCCAACTCTGGCAAGCCTTGAGAAATTGGAGTTGCAGATCTCTGGACAGCAGGTCTTAAACTCTAAAGAACAGGACCCTCAAGCAGTGGGTCCAGGAGGCTGGAAATAGCTACAGGAATGAGTTTCTTTCTGCCGTCAAAGCATGGAGCCTTGGAGAGTAAAGTAGGAATGAGTCCCCCAACCTGCAGTCCCAGGTATAGCCCTGGAGACTGGGCTGAGTGAGTTCCCTGCCTGAGGCTTAGACTCCAACAAGTCTCCTCACCTGTAAATCTTGAAGGCAGTCTGCCTCTTCAAAGACTGCCTGGAAGTCAAGTTCCTGGCTATTCCAGGAGCCAGCTGACAGCAGGACTCCATCTTCAGATTTCTTCCTCTGAAGAGAGCAGGGGCCTCTTGGGGCCAGAATCAGGAGCCAGCTGAGTACCAGACTCCAGCCAGGACCTGGCTCTGAAATCTTCCTTCTCTTCCTCCTCAGAGGGGCACACCAACTACACTGATTTTCAAGACCTCCCTACTCTGTGACAGGGTCAGGTGGACCCTGATTGACTGAATGTTAGAGCATGCAAATAGTCTGTAAAATGGAGCTAATCAGGGGAGTGCTATCAAGCCTGGAGAAGAACGTTGAGCCCACCGAAAGCTCCCAATCAGTTTGGGCAGGTCCTGCTTTCTGCCACTGTTCTTCCTGTCAGTTTTCATGCAATCAGGGCTTTTGCTGCATTCTCAGTGACTGCTTCCCTGACTGCTGGGATGGCTATGGTGAGCTGTCAAATGGCAGTTCACTGCCAGGGGCTTCTTGCCCTCTGGGTTCTGGGGTCCTTTCTACTCTGATCACATTCATGTTTATTTCCTTATGATAAACTTTCAAATGTGGAATACCTAAGTAAAGAGGGTATGCAGGCTCTTCTAACACATGGCCTCTAGGTAATAGAGCCGATCCTACTTTTATCATAAATTTCTATTTTTCTGGTGTCTGTAAGGGATCCTAAGATCATAGTTACTGTACATCCTTGCCTCATTAATTCTTCATCTGCTAGTGAGTTCAATACAGCATCACAGAGGAAGTTGAAGTAAAGTGTTGTAACAGTGGAAATTCCAAGGTTAAAACAAAAATGAAAGGGGATGAGTTTGAGGAAAGTGAAACACATAAATAAGGGCACTCACCCAGCCAGCAAATGCATCTCCAAGTCCTTCCTGAGCCAGACTTCCTTTCCAGAACAATATGATGCTCAAGGTATTGTAGCATTATATGTGACTTGCCTAAATTGCTTCTCTAGTTTAATTCTTCCTTTCTCAGTCTCCTCAGTTGGCCTCCTTTAAAGGCATACCTGCTCTGCTGCACAAATGGCTTTTTAATGTTTCTCATAGCCTCTGGGCTACCTAGTTAACTGCATGTTAGCTCTCATCAGTGTTTTACAAATAAGAGACAAGATATTATTGCTTATTATTAGGAAGAAAGGTGAGCCATAAGTTCACCAAATCTTATCCTCTTGATTTTACATGTGTCCTTTGTGATACAAACAGATTACATTTCTAATGATCTGTTTGCTCTTCATGTCCTCTGTAGTCTCCTGTCAAGCTATTTTGAGTCAGAAAAAAAATCAGTTTTTGGTTTGGCCTTCTAGAGAGCTTTACACAGTGAGTTCACAAGGGCTCCTGAAATTTCTCATTAAATGACACCATAATGTGCTGTAATTTATACATTAGCCACAGTATTTTACTAAAAAGAGATACAAATGCCATGATAAAGTTAAAGCCCATCAGCAAGATATTTGAAATGTAGATGAATGTGTGACTCACAGAAAGCTGAGCATCGGAGATGATTTCTCTTAAGGTCCTTGAAGGACCAGAGATGGGGTGATTTGTTCTTTGGCTTACAGATCATGTTCAGCACGTCAGAAGATCCCATGTACCCTGATGTCATACGTCACCAGCTGCATGGTCTCCTAATGCTACACCCACATCTTAGGTTCCATGTTGGCACCCCTTACCTATGATCCAGTCATACAATATGCAACTAGTACTCGAAACCTAAACTGGCAGATTAGTAAGCCATTTCTCTTCCCTCCTTTCATCCCTTTTCTGCTCTTAGTATGTTAATTGAACAGCATGAAATCAGCGTTACTGCCTTCTCTTCTCTAATCATTCATTGCTACATGCTTTCTCTTGCCCCAGCCTTCTTCTCTCCTGTTTTCTCCCACTCCATGTGCACCTCATTTTCTGTCAAAGCTTCAGAGACATAAAGAGTACTCCATTCTTTTGAAAATGGCAGTTATTACCTGACTTGATAAATTTGGAGAGTCTAAGGATGGAATTAAGGTTGAGGCAGGAGGACTGCCACAAGTTCAAGGTCAGCATGAATTAGATAGGAAGTTCCAGGCCAGTCAGGGTCACATAGCAAGACCCTGTCTCAAAATAAAAAGAGAAGAAAGAAAGAAAGAAAGGAAGGAAGAAAGAAAGAGAGAGAGAGAAAGAAAGAAAAAAAGGAAGAAAGAAAGAAAGAAGAAAGAAAGAAAGAAAGAAAGAAAGAAAGAAAGAAAGAAAGAAAGAAAGAAAGAAAGAAAGAAAGAAAGAAAGAAAGGAGAGAGCAGAAGGAGGGATGGAAAGAGAAAGAAATTAGTTGGCAGCAACAGTGAAAGACTCCTAACTAGACACTGGCTCCATCTCTAGGACTCTACTTTAGCACTGAGCCCAGTGCAAGAGATTCCCCAGATGCTTCAGATCTCCTAATTCAGTAACCCACACATACCCTCCAGGTACCATTTGTAAATGAGGGATCTGACAATTCAAGATAGGAAGGATGTTATACAATAACATGATCATTAGAGCAGGAAAGGGAAGCTACTTAATATTTCACTAAGAGGTATTAAAGTTCTAGGCATGTAGTAAAATGCAATTAAGGTTGCACATTTTTAACTACGTCTCTTGTGAAAGCATATAGAAGCAAAATTACTACCTGTGCACTGATGAGCTTGATATTTGAAGGAATTGCAAAGTCTTCTGCTATTGCTTATGAACCTCAAATCATCCTGTCCTGGAGTTTTCCTTATCTGGCTTGTGAATTGATACAGACCAGCCTTCTCCACAGCAGTGATCACAAGGCATGACATTTCCAGCAAATGCATAGTGATTCCATCATCATTGCCCAGATGATGGCCTGGGCAATCTGTGTCCTCTCTGTTGGCAAGTGGCTCTGCCATTTGCCCATCTGGAAGCTCAGCTCTTGCTACAGGCTCTTACCTGTCCCTGTGTACTCTGCTCCAATCCCCTCTGTACACAGTTGCTACAGAGATCTTTCCAAACACGGTTCTGATCATATCTCTACCTTTGCTATAACAGCACTGTGGCCTCCTGTTGACTTACCAATCTTTAGTGTGATGTAATGTCCATTCAGTTCTAGACTGCAAAGTCACTCTTCCTCTTACCCTGGTAGCTCTGCTGCTGAAGTAGATCAAATGCATGCCACCCTTCCACCTCCTGGTCTGTGCTGCTACCTCTGCCTTCTGCTTCCATCCTCATCTCTGTACCTGTACATACTGAGTGCTGCGCTTCCATAACAGATCAGGTACCAATGTCTCTGGGTTGCACCCTCGACAAGAGCAGGCAGTGGATCTCCTGTCACTGGTGCTATTTAAAACTTTCTCAGAGCCATGTTTTAAAAATGAAGAAGTAACTGATCAAATTAATATTTTATTTGACTATTTATCCTAAATATTATAATATTGAAATATTTATATCAATATATTTTATCAGATATCAATTCAATATGTAATCTATGCTTCAAATTTTTGAAATGCTTTCTGTTCTCCCTCCTCAACTCTTCAAAGTCCAATGCTTATTTCACAGATATGTCTCAGTTTGGACCAGCCACACTTCAGTGCCCAGAAGCCACATTAGGGAGGGTTCCAAATTGGACATAACAGAATGTGAGTATTCAAGACTCACTTAGAGGCTTAGGTGTGTGTCTCCATGGTAGAGCACTTGCCTTACATGCACAGGCCCTGGGTTTGACCCTCAATGCTAAAAAACAAAACAAATCACCTAGAGATCTGAAGGAAATGAGAAGCCTCTGTTAGGCTTCTTGGGGTTCTAGTTCTACCTCTGGTAATCTAGAGTATGGACCAAAAATGTTCAGTTTTGACAGGAATCCCTGGTGTCTCTGAAACACATGTTCCTCAGACCACACCTTGCAAATGAAACTGAGCCTTAAAAGCTCAATGCCCTGATTTGGGAGTTAAATTCATGGGGTTAATGTCCAAAGTCCCCCATTTAAGAGCAGTGAAAATCAGCACCTTCAGCCTTCCAGTTCTCAGTCTCCACCTCCAAGTGATACTCATAGTCCTCACCCGCAGACACGTGGGTGCTAAATGTATGGTGTATTTGGAGTGCTCATCACCATGCCTAACACATATTAAATAGGGCCAGCTCTCAGATGTCCCCATTTCATGGAGAGATGTCCCTCCATCCTCCCCTCTGTCTGTGTTTACTTAACATTGTCCATCTCACTCTGCTGTCATCACCTGCTTCCCAGCCTGTACTGTCAGTTCAACTGAAGAAAGCACCTGGTTACTGTACATTTCCACATCCTTGTGCCTAACGCAGGAAGTATTTAATACACATCAGAAATGAATCTAAACTTTATCAATCGATTTCTTCTAGCAAAGTAAAGCTCTTTACCTCAAGGTCTCTTAGGAAAAAGAAGGGTGTGGGTAAAAAGTGGGTTGTGCTCTGTTGTAACTCTCTTCTCTTTGAAGTCTGTCACAGAAAGTTTTGCCACCATGATTCATGGCTTGAAAGTGGACCACCTAACAGATCACGTCCTTCAGAGGAGCAAGAGGATGATTCTGGATGCTTTGGGTGTTGGTTTTCTGGGAACCAGCACAGAAGTGTTTCACAAAGTCAGCCAATATAGTAAAGTAAGAAACTCAAAGTTTACTTTAAAGATAAAAACAAGTGTGTGCACATCCCGACTCCGGAAGTCTGTGTCTCTGCTGGAGTTACTCTACACTTAGTTTGACAGCATTTGATGTGGCACATCCGTCTGTAGAGTTGTGTTTTGTTTTGTTGTGGTTCTGGTTTTTGAGACAGGGTCTCCCTATAGTCCCAGCTGGCCTGGAACTTGCTTATAGATGAAGTGGGCCTCAATCTCACAGAGATCCTGCTTCTGCCTCCTGAGTGCTGGGATTAAAGGTGCTGGGATTACATACCACAGCTGGTATGTAGTTTTATGAGTCCCTCAGTTTCTTTATCTGATTTTTAAAGTCCATTCCTATAATTTATTAAATCAGTCTTAACGCTATTCACTGGTAATTTCTCATAGCTGTTTATTGCGACTGAAAGTACTTTTCAACTTGAAGTCTTAGAAGCAAAAACATGCACCACACACAATTTCTTCCTGCAAGTGTTTATAAAGAAAAGGCTGGCCTAGTACTCTGAGCAGGGGTGGGAATGTGTATGGGAGAAATAGCAGCTACTCTCTATAGGCTGTACCTCGTGTAGTCATCTAGTCCACTACCCCCCAGTGTTTGCCTCAAGGTCAGACTCACTTCCTGAAGAACTTCTAGATTACAACTCAGGACTGAACAGATCCATTTCCTCTCCCTTACAAAATTAAAGCTGTGTGTTCTTCTGCAAGGAAGAGAGAATTCCCTTGACCTGGGCTTCTATGACAAGGGGTCAGTGAGAACTAATATTCCAGAATGAAGAATCATTCTTGAGATATCAATTCAGTATATTGTTGCACTAACTTTTCTTGTTCTGGTCTAGATCTACAGCTCCAATACCTCCAGCACTGTTTGGGGTCGACCAGACTTCAGGCTCCCGCCCACATATGCTGCTTTTGTCAACGGTGTGGCTGTAAGAATATTTAAATTCCTTGTCTATGATTAAATTATTATTACAGCTTCAGAGCCAGAAAATATCTTAGAAATTTCCTAACACTTTTGCTTTAAATATGAGATCAGTCAAATCAAAAGCTGAAGTGGCCTGTCCTCTCTCTTATGTAGAAATGTCAGTTTTCATATTTCCACAATAAACTGATGTTTTTCCAACAAACTGTAAACTAGAAGAAACGAAAGGATCTAGATAAAAATACTTGTAAAGTATTCCGATTCTGAACCTTGAATGCATATAGTAACAAATACATAGAGCCCAGATCTACACACAGAGCCCTCTTCCTTCTCTCTGTTGTGAGAGAGAAGTTCCTTTCCAGGAACCGCCTCTTCATTTAGTCACCAGATAGTCATCCAGAACGAAACAATGGCCACGCGGTGCCTCTGTTTTATCTGAATGAACAGTCAGTACTCATCTGACAGGCAATATTTATGTTATTTTCTGTGTGTCAGTAAAAGTCTGCAATTTGGACATAACTCATGTTGGGATTCCTGCGATATTTCTACTGGTTTATGGGGCTAGTAGCTCAGAATATTGAAAGCACACTCTGTGGTGCACTCAGGAGTGAACATTCAGCGAACAGTGAGAAAAGTACCAGCCACAGTAGATGAAGTTCTGATTAGTACTAACTGCTTCATATATGGAAAAAGTGACTGAAATGAAAGGGAACAAAAACTTAGATCAGAAAAAAATAATTTTTAAAATACAGTTTAATAGTTAATATGGATTTGAGAGTTCTTTGCTGTTCTTACAACTTCTCTACAAGTTTTAAATTACTTTATAATAGAGACACAAAAAAATGCCCTGATACATAATAAATGATATTAAACTTTTAGCATGACTTGTTTAAAGGGTGAAGGGAGGAAGGAAAGGGCACTTTGTGAGGGAGAGTATAGATCTTTCCAGGACCTAATCCCAAGGCAGGACTCGGGATCCATGGGGAAAAGTATAAGCTACTCTCCAAGGTTCTTTCTTCCTCTGGCCAGAGGAACAGAGACTTGTGCATCTCAACATGTGATTAATAATTACAGTCAGTTTTCAGGATGTAATTTCAGAAAATTAGGTCCAAAAAATCTCATAGCCAACAAGGTTATTGCTTAATTAAATCCTTCCCAGTTCAAAAGCCAATGTATTCGAGGAAGTTTCTGAGGGTGTTTGTTTATATATATCCATATAGATTCACTCAATGGATTTTGATGACACGTGGCACCCTGCCACCCACCCTTCTGGGGCTGTCTTGCCTGTCCTCACAGCTTTATCAGAAGCCTTGCCTCAGACTCCAAAGTTTTCTGGCCTTGACCTGCTGTTGGCATTCAACGTTGGGATTGAAGTACAAGGACGATTAATGCATTTCTCCAGGGAAGCCATGGACATACCAAAGAGGTATAGCGAGACTTTGTCCATCCAGGAATAGCCACACTGCCCTCCATCTGTTAGTGACTATCTGTGTAGAGTTTTCTGGCTTAGAGGTTGGCTCCTTTGAAAACGTTAACATTAGTGCTGCCAAGATACACCATTCCCAATCACATACCAAACCCTGCATCCACATAAAAAGATACAAATCAGAAATGATGACATTTTCCTTTGGGTTTAGAAAGTTAATCAAGCAACTAAGACCATGACATGAGATAACTTGGGATCTGTCACTCCAAGGTGATTCGTGTCACTCTGACATCCAGAGGTACTCTGGGTATCCCTCATCCCATCCTCAGAGCACAGCCTACTGTGACACTGGCTGGGATCCTTCAGGCTAATGAGAATGTTCTTAATACATTAACCCTGACTGCTCACCCCAGAGGTCAGAAGTAGGCAAATGTTAGCTGTATTGTATGGTCTAATCAAATGTTTGTGTTGTCCCTTTGTGTGACCGGCTGGGAAAGGAATGCCTTGGAATAATGAGTGGTGAAATTTTAAAATTTCTACAAGGCCCTTAACTGTTGTATCTATGTCAACCATGAACAGTTTCTGCCTTTGTGCCAGTAACTATAATAATACTATTATAAAGAACTTGCTGCATGTTAGGCACTGTTGAAAAATTGTGAATTTGTTCAAAGTTCTAAAACTGTATGATGTTCACAGTATTATCACCAATTATGTAGTGGGAGAGACACAGAGAAGTTAAATAACTTTCTTAAGATCACACAGCTGGGTCTGGAGAGATGGCTCAGCAGTTAAGGGCACTAACTGCTCTTGCAGAGGACCTGGGTTCGTATTCCCAGCACCAACATGGTGGCTACGAACCATCCTTAACTCCAGTTTCAGGGGAATCCAAAGCCCTCTTCTGACCTCCGAGGCATTGCACAACATGGGTGCACTCACATACATGCAGACAATACACTCATAAAATAAAAACAATAAAATATTTAAAAAAAAAAAAAAAAAAAAAGATCACACAGCCAATAAATTTGGATGGAAGCTGAACTAACTACTCTATTGATGTTCTTGATTTCTATGCAATTCTGCCTCCTGCTGGTTCAGGTTGGTAACTCTCCAATTTTTAAAAAATGTTTTTTTATTCTTTGAAAGCATTATTTGTACATGTATGTTGATCATATTAATCCACTACTACTTCCTTCCAATTCCTAGTGTCCCTACTCATCCCTTCCCATCTTCATGTCCTCTTTTTTGTTGTTATTAATCCTGAGTCAAATAAATGTTGCCCATGTATATATGAATGTGTGGCCATCCACTGGGGCATGAGCAACTTATCAGTGGCTACAAACCCAAAGGAACCATCAACTGCCAATAGCTGAGGCCCCCTCCCTGATCCATGGTGGAATTTTAACTGGCTTGATCTTGGGCAGGACTCAGGCAGGTAACTGCAGCTGCTGTGAGTTGATGCAGGCAACAGCCATGCAGTATCCAGAAGTCAGCATTTCACAACTCTCCTTCCATCCACCCACATTCCCAGATGAATATTCATTGTTATTTATACTCAGCACTTTGACCAGTAATTAGCTTCTGCATTAACCACTACCCTCTGCCAAAACAAAATTTCTCTGACCAAAGATGAGAGTAGCCCAGATCTATGAGTATAAATATAAATATTTAGAAAACACAATTTGACTGAATGACCCTTTAGCAAAATGACAATAGTAGGTTCTCATCCCTGTAGGGCCTATGATCTCCCCAGTCCTGGAATTTTAATCAGGTTTACAGTACCAGGCATGAAATCTCTCCTGTGAAGGAGGCCTCATAATCAGTAAGAAAGCAATTGGCTATCCCTATAACCTTCATGCCACTATTGAACCAGTAGACACTTCTTGTCAACAGGTCAATGTTGCAGCATACAGGGTCCAGGACTGGATAAGACCACTGGTGTCTTTTCTTCTCCAGCAGCTGCATAGCACCTTCTGGCACTATGGAAGCTAGCCAGCAGGAAAAGTCTTTCCTGGTCAGTTAGAAGTTGATTTCTGTATATCCTACATCCAAAGTGAGTGGTGTCTTCAGCAACAGGGTCTTACCATCCAAGTGAGGAGCAATCAGCTTACAGATTAGGGGGCTTCCATGAGAGTTCTTCATATATCCTTAGCTTTGACTAAGTTACCCTCTACCCTCTCCTCTCCCCAACCCCCGTATTCCCGCTTAAACCTTTAATCTTGAATATCCTTCCCACCCACCATTTATGTTACCTGTCTTCTGTTGTCCTCTCTAAATGAGTTTTTTTTTAGGTTGGAAGACAGTAGGTTTCCACAGAGCTTTTTCATGCACCTTCATTTTGGTTAACCTTTCTGTCAGCACTTCATTTCCCCATTCCTTGCACACTTCATGCTTGAACCTTTCCACCCCTAGCATTTCCCTCTCTATTTTAATTTCACTTGTATTTTATTATCCCCCCAGTGTCCACCCCTCAGTGGCCCATTTCTAATATCCTGGATCTCACATGTGCTCCAAGTTAAATATACAAAAGACTTAAAGCTGGGATCGACATATGAGAAAGAACACAGGGGTTTGTCTTTCTTGGCCTGGGTGATTTCATTTAGTATTATTTTTTCCAGTCTCATCCATTTACCTACAAGTTTCACTTATTTTTTTCTTTACACTTGAGTAATAGTCCATCATATATTTGTGCTATATTTTCCTTCCATTTATCAGTAGAATTTTGTTTTGTTTTTGCTTTCCAGATTCCATCCTCCCTCCGTGGTGGGAACTTTGGGCAGTGCTGCAGCTGCATCCAAGTTTTTAGGGCTCAGCTTGACAAAGTGCCAACAGGCCTTGGCTATTGCTGTTTCTCATGCCGGAGCACCCATAGCAAATGCTGCCACTCAGACCAAGCCCCTTCACATTGGTAATGCTGCCAAGCATGGGATGGAAGCCACATTTCTGGCAATGCTGGGTCTCCAAGGAAGCAAGCAGATCTTGGACCTGGGGTCAGGGTTTGGGGCCTTCTATGCCAATTATTCCCCTAAAGTCCTTCCAAACCTGGATTCTCACATTTGGCTACTAGACCAGCAAGATGTAGCATTCAAGAGCTTCCCAGCACATCTGGCTACCCACTGGGTGGCAGATGCAGCCGCAGCTGTGAGAAAGCACCTTGTGCCTTCAGATGGAACTCTGTTTCCATCTGACCATGTCGAGAGAATTCTGCTCAGGATCCCAGATGTCCAGTATGTAAACAGGCCCTTCCCAGATTCAGAGCATGAAGCCCGTCATTCCTTCCAGTATGTCGCCTGTGCAATGCTGCTGGATGGCAGCATCACTGTCCCATCCTTCCACAGCCACCAGATTGAGAGGCCACAGGTGAGAGAGCTGCTCAAGAAGGTGGAGCTGGAGCACCCTCCTGACAACCTGCCAAGCTTCAACACACTCTACTGTGAGATCAGCATCACCCTCAAGGATGGAACCACCTTCACCGAGCGCTCCAATACCTTCTATGGTCACTGGAGGAAACCACTGAGCCAAGAGGACCTCCAGAAAAAGTTCAGAGCCAATACCTCCACAACGCTGTCCAGTGACACAGCGGAAAGCCTCATAAAGATAATAGAAAACCTGGAAGACCTAGAAGATTGTTCTGTGCTAACCACACTTCTGAAAGTCCCCTCTCCTCCAGTGGAGGCTTCAAAACGATCCAGCATGTTATCATTCCATCACACAACCTCTCCTGGGCTTACCAACATCTAAACAGCTTTGCACTAGGGGAGACTCAATGATATATTCCACAAAACAAGGGTCTGTTGTTCTGTCTGCCAGGCCATGAACTGAGCAAGGTAAAGAGTCCAGCCAGACCAAGTGTATTTGGAATACAAACACCATGTAAGCCTTAAAAAGTTAAGAATGGCAATCATGGAGAATGTGTTCTGAATTCCTGATGTTTTCAAAAACAGAACAAGGCTCTTAGCTCCAGATGTTGACTTGTAAGAATTCATGTTGAAATTTTTAGGGTAACCATTTGAGAACTGTACTAGAATGTATCACTTCCAGGTTCGTAAGAGAAGGAAAAGAGAATTAGAAAAGGGAAGAAAAGAAAGAAGTGTAACAAAAACAGGACACTCAGAAAATACCATAAAATGATAGAATTTCGAGCATATCTATAATTTTAAAGAAGAATAAGTGGAGTAAATGATCCAGTTCAATAGAATCAAGATTGTTAGAGCATACTTTCCTTTAAAAAATGGTTAACAGGGCCAGGCATGCTGGTGCACACCTGTAACTCCAGCACACAGGAGACAGAGGCAGGTGGATCTCTGTGAGTTTAAGGACAGTCTGATCTACATAGAGAATCCAAGGTCAGTCAGGGCTACAAGAGACCCTGTCTCAAATGAATAAATAAATAATAAATAAATAGTTAAAAGCTTTATTAATACTTAATTTTAATACTATTCACTCATTATAAGTGAATGGTACAAGAATTTCTAGTAAAGTCATACAAACATTATCACAATCAAGTTTTGGGATATTTCTATTACCACTCATAAATTCCCTCATGCCTATTTGAAATCAATCCCAACTCCAATCCTTAGAAAAGATGGTCTTTTATGAAATGGGCATGTTTCCATTTCTCTGGGGTGATACCTAGGAATGGAAATGCTGAGTCCTTTGATAAATGTAAGTTTAACTTTATAAAAACCTGCTTTCCAAATTATCTCCATTGTGTTCTCTATCCACCAACAATGGATGAGTGTCTCAATTCTCCTCATATTCACCAACCATGTCTATCACCAGTCTTTTTCATATCACTTTTACATATCACTTCTAGTGAGTATGTAACAATATCTCCTTACAGTTTTAATTTTCATTTCCTTAGTCACTAATTCTTGTCTGTTTTTGAGCATTCTTTTACTTGTGTTGTCTTATTGTTGAGTTGAAAAACTTTATATGTATTCTGGGTATAAATCCTTTAGATAAATGTTTGGTAACTACTTCCTCCTATGGTATGCTTCTCATCTTTTAAATGGTGGACCTTGAAAATGAAAATTTTCAAAGTTTTATCAAATTTATTAATAAATTGTTCCTGTTCAAATCCACTTGGATAACAAAATGTTCCTGCTTTGGAAATCATCAGAAAGAGCAGGCATTGATAGCACCAGGACACAGACAAGAACTCTGGCAGGATAGAGTTCCTGCATTTTCAGAGGGCTTGTAAAACCATGTGGTCCTCTTGCACTGGGGAGGGGTTGCTGCAGATCCAAACCCTAATATTCCAGCCTTTTGTGTTATAGGATAGGAGGCACCATAGATGAACATGGTCGAAGTAGGGGAGGCTGCATTAGGGGTCAGCCAGACAGCGGGGTTTCTACCTCGAGCATCTGAACAGGGTCCTCAATGGTCGACAGGTGCTCGTGTGGAGGGAAGGAAAGTAACAGCTGATCAAAAGTAATATGAGTTAGTTGTTGAATCCAGCCCTGAAAATATCTGAAGAGGCAAGGAGCAATGATTAGCACCAAAGTAATAGAACACAAGCAAGAACTCCAGTGGGATAGAGTTTATTGGCAGGGAAAACACATGGGTCACTTCCCCCGTTTGGGATAGAGGAGCTGTCAGTTTACAGGCTGTTGGCTAGGGTCTTTTATAGGGGGTTTTGGAGGATGTGGAAAGAGGGAAAATGTTTTCTTAAAAAGTTAGGTGGGAGAGAGAAAGCCCAGGGCTTATCAGGAGAGAATAGCCTCTGTCAAACCAACCCCTTCTGTCCCCTTCCATCAGCCAGGATCTGGGTCATGGGATAAGGGGTCCGTTTATCTTCTAAGACTATCAAAGGGGAAACAAGCTATGACAAAACAGCTCTTATAGCAATCCAGTCTTGGGTCAAAGGTGTAGAGAGTCTGTTTATCTTGACTGCAGATGGTCAGAGTGCTCATTAACTCAGTTCCTGTATTTTCAGAGGGCTTGTAAAACCATGAGGACCTGTTGCACTGGAGAGGGGGTTGCTGCAGATCTGAACCCTAACAGGCATGATGGTGCACATCTGTAATTCCAGCACTCAAAAGGCTGAGGCAGGAAAATCTGAACTCACGGTCAACTTAGTCTACATAGTAAAACACTATATTAGTTACTTTTCTATTGCTGTGATAAAATACTATAATCAAAATCAACTTAAGGAATAATTTAGGGTCCAGGTTGGAGTCCATAATGGTGGGGTCAGGCATGGCAGCAGGTCCTTGGTAGAGCTGGCTGATCACATTTTTTCTGTACATAGAAAGAAGAGAAAAAGAAAAGGAAGTGAAGGCAAGGCTATGAACACTCAAAGCCCACCCCCAGTAATGTACTTCTTCCAAAAAGCTTGTACTACCTCCTAAAGGTTCCATAACCTCCCCCAAACAGTGCCATCAAATGGAGTTCAAATACATGAGCCTACACAGGACATTTCTAGTTCAATCCTCTTTTTTTTTTTTTTTTTTAAAAAAAAAAAAAAAAAAAAAAAAAAAAAAAAAAAACTTGTATTTTGTACATGTCACATAAGAATACATAAAAGTTGAAAATAAAATGATAGAATTTTTAATGAAAGTAATATAGACAGAAAATTAACAAAAGATAAAGGCCAGTGAGATGACACAGCAGATATTGCACAAGCCTGAAGACCTGAGTTCAATCCCTGGAGCCTACAGTGGAAGGAAAATACTGAGGCAGGAAGGCAGACAGAGAGACAGACCACACACACACACACACACACACACACACACACACACACAAATAATAAGTAAAATAAAAATTTAAAAACAAACTTTAAAAAGGAAGAGAAAATTAACCAAAGAAAGTTAGCATGGGGGCTGGAGAGATGGCTCAGTAATAAAGAGCACTGGCTGTTCTTATAGAGGACCTGGGTTTGGTTGCCAGCATCCACATGGAGGCTTACAACCAGCGAGTAATTCCAGTTCCAGAGGATCCTATGCCGTCTTCTGGCCTCTGCAGCCACTGCATTTTGATCAAGTTCAGGTTTTTTTGTTTTGTTTTGCTTTGCTTTGCTTTGCTTTGTTTTTTTTATGATCAAGCACATATCAGAAATTCCTAGAGACAACACTTATCAATAAGACCTTAGACAATCCTGGTGATGCCTCAGACCAACAATTAGGAGGTAGGTTAGCCAAAGTCAGGGTGGCCTTGACATTGGCTACTGTGAATAAAGGTCCCAGGGGAAAAAAAAAAAAAAAAAAAAAAAAAAACCTCTGTCTTTGTGATGGTTTGAATGAAAATGTCCCCCATAGGCTCCAAGTATTTGGACATTTTGTCCCCAGATGGTGGCGCTGTTTTGGGACATTTTAGAAGGTGTGGTTATTCTGGAGGAAGTACATCACTGGGAGTTGGCTTAGAGAGTTCTAAGCCTTGCTGGATATCAGGTTTCTCTCTTGCTTCCTGTGCCTGTGTGATGATGTGAGAACTTAGCTTCTGCTGCTCCTGCTCCAGCCACCTCCAGCCACCATGCCTCCCTGCCATGATGGACTATAATTCCCCTGGAACCATAAGCTCAAGTAAACTCTTCCTTCTATAAACTGCTTGGGTCAATATTTCTATCACAGCGACAGAATAGTGACTAATACAGTCTTCAAACTGGACTTTCTCCTGCAAGGCTGATCAACTGATTAGAATTTCAATGAATGTGGAGCCTTGGAATGTTGCAGGTCCAGAGCCTAATTACCATTTACCTCCAGCCATCTTTAGCCCCCTAAACAGCCACTCAGTTTCTGATCTAACATCTTGTGACTAGCAGATAAAAAACATTTTAGAATGTATTATCCTAGCAGACCACCCAATGTCACCAATCAAAAGGCTAAGAATGTCATCAGATAGCATCTGAGACCTATAGTAAAAAACCCCTTGCTTTGCTGCAACCCACATACTGAATGTATCCTCCAATGTATTTGAAGTGTCTTGATTTATGATTTTTCTTTGTTCTGTTACTATAAAAAATGTAAGGCAACTATTACCACACTGGAACATGGAATTTGGGGTAACCTGAATCTGTGTTCCTGGGCCATGGTCACTCATATTTGGCTCCAGAATAAACTCTTATCCTCTTTGAGGTGAGAGTTATGCTTTTGCATCAACAATACTCTGCTCAAAATTAACTGAAGGCAATGAAAATGTAGGAGAGAGGGATGGAGGAAGTAGATGAGTAGAGGGAACTGAAGACCCCTCTTTACCAATGGGCCAAGTACCATACACCCACACCTAACTATACACAAAGAAATGGAGAGGAGAGACCTCTCTAAAACATGATTTCTTCCTATTAGTAAAAACTAGGGCATTTCTAGCACATGTGCTAATAGAGACTGTGAGAATGGAAAAATTAAACTGACCACCCCTCTCTTATATATTATTTCTACATGTCTGGAGACAGCACTGCCTTGAGCTATGCCACATGAAGAAGCCAGGCACTGTGGAAAATGCTGGCTTTCCCCTTTCATATCCTTGGGAAGAGGATGCTGCTAAAACTACTTAACTATTATGGTCTTTATGGGCAAGCAAGTGAGCCCTCCACAAGGATCAGGCCACACTGACTACTAGGAAAGGGAACTAGCCCTGAGACTAGGGCAGAGGCTTCAGCTCACAGACAGACCTCCCTGGCTCCCTCCCTGCATTTCTGCACCTAAAGCAATTATTCAGTCAAACTGCAACAGGAATCAGACACAGCCTGACAACTCCCCGGAGCCTTAGTGCAGGCTACTGTGCATGTATTAAGAATCCCCAAGACTACACACACCAGTGGCTATTCTGTTGTGTAGGTATTTCCTCCTAACTGAAACATTCTCT